GGGGGGGGGGGGATCAGATCACATGTTCTCCAGGTGAATTCAGATAAGGTGGCCTTCGATGCCATCCAGGGGAGCCAAATTCAAATAAACACACAGTTGTTTTGGGGACAGGCAGAACTTAATGACATCTACCTTGAATCTGTGTTGGTCCAAACGGTTCAGAAAAGTCCAAATTCCATGGCCCCACCAATGGAACGTGCCTGAGTAAAATCCCCGAGATCTTATCCATTCTGCCAAAAGCATTTGAGTCTGGGTACTCGAGGCATGAACCAAGCCATCATAAAGGCAAGCAGCGTGATCAGGTCCCAATCTGCTGCCGACGACTTCCTTGATTGATTAATAAAACCAGCAACCAGCCGAATCCAAAAAAGTAGGAACCATTTATTGTAAATCCAATTAAATATGCATCCTTAAAATCCACAAATGGCAGCAGACAATAGACATATCATCAAGTCTTCCAAGTTTATGAGATATCCAGCTGCGTGCGTGCCAACAGGGTAAATCGGCTCACCTTCGAAGAGAAGACGCCTGTCTTCTCTTCGAAGAAATGTTATCAATTGTGTTGAAGGACCAAATGAACAAATCAAGTCCGTAATTATGGTTCGGAAGGTACGCAAGAGAGGCTCAGAAGCAGTTTCACAGACAGACAAAGCAGCAAAGCAAAGCGGAAAGGGAGGGGAGGGGAAAAGAGTCCGACCTCGACAAGCGCAAGTGGTGAAATGATCAAAATCAAGTCATTCATTCAAATAAGCTGCATACATTTAATTTTAAAAATAGAGATTACAAGATTATTGTGAAAATTGTTATTACTTTCCTCAACGAATCCACATTTTACATCTAAAATGTAATGTTTTTGTAATGTAAATGTATTTTAAACAGAAACATAGGGTTATTTTTACTATCATCTATTAAAGATTAATAATATAAAGTTCTAGCTTTACGGAGAGCTTTCTTTTATGTTAGCAGACTATCTTTCCAAGTTAAATAAAATTCTTCAATATTAGTGGAGCGCCAATTTCTCTCCTGGTTAGGCTGCTTTAAGGTACGTAACTCAGAATTGAACCAAGGAGTTAATCTCCTCTGATTGATTACTTTCTTTTTCAGTGGAGCATTTTTATCAAGTGAAGTTTGCAATGAAGTTTTAAAATTATCAACAAGATCATCTAAGTCACTGTTCACTGATGTATTACTCTGCAAGACAGAGGAAAACATTGTTGGAAGAGAGTCTTTAAATTTGGTTACATTTTCTGATAAACACCTACTAAGATGAAATTTACTCTCAGTGACTGTGTAGTCATTTAATATAAACTCAAAGGTTATTAATAAATGGTCAGACAGAACAGGATTTTGATGATGCGTTACTAAATCCCTAATCTCTATGCCATAAGTCAGAACAAGGTCAAGTATGTGATGATGAAAGTGAGTAGGTGTTCGGACATTTTGGGTGAATCCAAATGACTCTACTAAGTCTACAGTATGAAAAGCTGCCGAGAGGTCCAACATCACCAGCAGAACAGGTTTTTTGGCATCAAGGGACACAAGAATATCATTCTGTACTTTGAGTAGTGCAGATTCAGTGCTATGACAGGGTCTGAAGCCAGATTGAAATTTTTCAAACAAGTTGTGTTCTAAAAAAGATTGTAACTGAATGAAAACAACCTTTTCCAGAACTGTCCAAATTGTCCAATGGTTATGAAATAGTTTGCTAATAAACAGACAAATACACAAGTAAAAACATTACCTTTGCTTTTTTGTGGCAGGTGATAGACATCTTGAATAATTTTGATATTTTGTAGAATTCTTCATTGCCTAAGACTCACCTTTACATTATGCATGCTCATGAGATTTCCACAACTGTCCATGTAATGTTTAAGGTCACTGTCCTGAAAAAGAGAATAATCCAGTGTTCCCAGTTATATCTGTTTATAAGCCTTTTGGGTAAATGTCCTTTAGAGACCATGCAAATCTTAATGGACTCACCAGATACTCAAACACCAGGGTGAGACAGCGGTCAGTGTGGATGATGTCATGTAGGGTGACAATGTTGGCATGTTTGAGATTCTTCAGTAAGGATACTGTTTGGAGCCAAGAACAAGACAATGTTTCTGTCAGAACATTTGAGCATCACATTAGGATTATTGAAGCTCCGTTTAGTTTACAATCCAAGACAAGTTTAAGCTTGTGTTCTGTATAAAAACTAAACTGCATTGGAGACACGTAACACAGAAAAACAGAGCTTTTATCCCATGGACTCCTTGTCACTGAGCTGCAGTGGTCCTAACCTGATATCTCAACCATGTTTTATATGCTTTGGGTTAATCTGGTGTGGAGTCCGACTATGTCTCTGTAGCACTAAAATTTACCCATGAGCATTAACAGATACAGTATAACAAAATCTTTGCCTACAGCTGTCACAAGGACTGTCGAGTCAACTGTGTTTGTTAGCTAAATATCTTCTGAACCACTGGATGGGTGTGAATGAAACTCAGAATCACTGGATGAACATTTTGACTACATTCTTAAGTCAATTCAGTTCAACATGGTCACCAGCAAAGTCACTTCAGACGCTACAAAATTAGCTTTAACAAAGTCAGTTTAGCAGATTTCTAGCTAAAATTTGATGCATTGTAGTAGTTTGGTATCATTCAAATTGTTTTACTTCTAGACCGGACCGTTGTAATCCTTTATCATCAGGGTGTCTAACAAAATGCTTTAAAGTTCTTCAGTTGATCCAAAATGCTGCTGCTGGAGTTAGAAGAGATCAGATTTCTCCAGTTATCTATAGCTTCTTTCCAGTGGTTTCCAGTTAAAATCTTACTTCTGACATACAAAGCCAGACAGACCAGGTTCACAGCTGACACTAAAATTTGTCTTTAAAGTTGTTTCTCATTGTACTAGCTGGAAAACAGTATAAGTGAGAATCTTCAAAAATGTTCTCAGTTTCCTTGCTTGAGTTGCAGAGGCTTGCAGATATCCTGATGCATAATCCAGGTAGAAAAATCTGAAGAAGTCTTTCGGATGAAAGAAGAAACATTTCTACTTTTTTCTTTTTTTTTTGAATGTCCAGAGGACCAGACTTAACTTTTTTAGAGCCTTGCAGACTTGTTGCTTGAACTTTGAACATGTCCAAAAAGCCAGTATGACAGAATACATCTCAAAACCGGTGCCTCCAAACCATTGCAACAGAACAAGGCCTGTATTCTTATATTTGCCCAGGAGCTCTCCTCTGGTGGTAAACATGACTAAAACTCAGGCTGATGTTGAATAATTATTAATAATACATAAATAAACAAATAAAGGTCCAAAATTGCATTTTGAGTTTAAAACTGTACTCTAAATCAGTGATCCCAACTCTTTTTGGTGCCACAGACCGGTTTATTGTCAGACAATATTTTCATGGAAAGGGCAGGGTGGGGGCGTCTGGGGGTCCTCCCCCAGAGAATTTTGAATAAAGTAGATGCTATTTCCTGCATTCTGATGTATTTTACAACAAAGGTTTATTACAGTAGATTTACATGAAACAAAAGATGTAACTCATTATTGAAATGACTGCAAAGTGTTAGTAATGCAACACCGCTGCAGCTCTGCAGGTAAGGGGCGTTCACTTCAGGACAGATTGAGGTTGCTGATTGGTCCATTACTGACATGCCTCCTGAATTGATTGGCAGGTGGGTCGAGGATCCAACTACTGCAATATATATATATATATATATATATATATCATATATTTTACTGGCCCATTTTAAGACTGCAATAATTTATTCCATATTTCTTCAACATTTGTTTAATATTTTGGTGAATCTAAAGTTTGAGAACTCTTTCCTTACACAATCCTAATGATGGTTTTATTATTTTTCAGGGTCACTGAGATAAAATTTAGGAGCACTTGAGCAGCCCCAACAGAAGCTAAAATCACCACTGTAGCCAGTTCATATTTATGATTTACTTTTAAACACTTTATGTGTGATTTATAAGTGTTTTAAGTGCAGGATCATTTCTCATCTACTAGATATTTAGTTAATATATCCCACACCGGGGTCAGCTGCACCTTGTCATCCTCCTCTTCGTGCACCTTGCTCGGTGTAGCAGTCCTGTGTCATTTAGCCACGCACAAACTCAGATAAAGAACCGAACTGAACTTGGCCAAAGGAGGTCCAAAAAACAGGGGTTGAACGAGTATATAATTTTTAAACTCGACATTAACATAATAAAACCCGAGAAGAACTCGAGTATTTGATGACGTCATAGATCTCAAGATACAAAAATAAATAAATAAATAAAACTGCAAAAAACGGTAATTATTTACAAAAACCAAAGACCAACAAAACATTGGGAGCGTATATTATGCTCCTACCATTTATCATACGGCAAATAAGTCACAGGAAAAACTAAACTATTAGTTTTTATTATTAAACTGCAAACGTGAAGAAACGCAGCACGTCAGAAACGAAACTTAAACCGAAACTGGTTCTGGTGGATTGGACCCAGTGTTACACCATACTCTGTGACCTGCAACAGTGCAACACCGCCCCCTACGGTCATACGTGGTCACATAATATGACGTCACTACGGATACTCGACGTTACATTTTAAACCTCGATAGAGGTCCTAGCAATCGATGTGTAGATAACTCGAGTACTCTGTTAATGCCCTAGTCATGACCCACATCAAAACAACCATCAACATCGAGGACCCTCATCAGTATGCATACTGTGACAACCGATCAACAGAGGATGCCATCTCCTCTGTGGTCCACACTGCGCTCAACCACCTGGAGCAGAAAAACTCTTATGTCCGTATGCTCTTTGTGGACTTCATGCTTGTCTTCAACACCATGATCCCCCAAACCCTGATGGACAAACTATCCACACTAGGACTAAGCCCCTCCATTTGCAACTGGGTACTAGACTTCTCAACAAACAGACCACAGTTAGTGAGGATCCACAACTTCTCCTCCTCCACCATAACCCTCAGCACTGGCTCTCCTCAGGGATGTGTGTTGAGCCCCCTCCTGTTTACTCTGCTCACATATGATTGTGCAGCTACCCATCCAGGCTGTCACATTGTAAAGTTTGCAGATGATACAGCGGTGGTGGGATGCATCACAAACAATGATGAGTCCAGCTACAGGCAAGAGGTGGAACACCTGGAGAGCTGGTGCAAAGAGAATAACCTTCACATCAATGTGAAGAAGACAAAGGAGATGGTCGTGGACTTTAGACGGAAACCCCACCCCCATAGGAGGATCTGTGGTGGAAGTGGTCTCCAGCTACAAGTACTTGGGTGTGCACCTGAACAACAACCTCAGCTGGAGCAACAACACCACCAGCCTGATGAAGAAAGCTCATCAGAGACTCTACTTCCTCAGGCGGCTGAGAAGAGCTGGTCTGGAAGCTCAGTCCTCACCTCCTTCTACAGGTGTGCAGTGGAGAGCATCCTGTGCTCCAGCATCAACGTGTGGCATGGAGGCTGCACAGCTGCAGAAAGAAAAGCTTTGCAGAGAGTGGTGAAGGCTGCACAGAAGATGTTGGAGTCAGTCTCCCCACCATCACAGACATCTACACCTCCAGATGCAGGAAGAGGGCCACCTGCATCATGAAGGACCCCACTCACCCAGCACACACACTTTTTGCCCCACTCCCCTCAGGAAGGAGGTTGAGGAGCATTAAGTGTAGAACCACTAGACTGAGGAACAGCTTCTACCCTGAGGCTGTTAGACTCATGAATATCTAACCAGAATAATCACTGTGAAAAAAAATCACATCATGTTGCTGCTGATCTGTTTCAATGTTGCTGCTGATCTGTTTCAATGTTGATGTGTTCATGCGTGTTCATCTGCTCACACAGACTCATGTTTGTGCTGTTGGTCGATGTAATGTTTTTATGCTATCAGTGCTTAGTGTATATTTAGTTGATGTTTTTCTTATTTCATATCTTAGATGTTATCATTTAGATGTTTTCTTTTACATTTTATTGTTGGATGTAACTGGGACCTTGTGTACTTAATTTCGTTCATGTGGTGGAACGACAATAAAGAATCTCTGACTCTGATATGGACGGGCGCTTACACCTGTCTGCTCCAGACCACGCAGTTGTTCACCACTTCATGGGCAACGTAGAACCGATCTGTGCATGTGCGCCTAACAGAAACTGAAACTAACCACTTGTGTATGTTGACCTGCATCAGTTTGAGTCATATGTGGTGGAGAGAATCAGGTGGCTTTTCAAAATAAAACTTTTTTCTTTTTCTTTTCTGTGCAGCCTGATACCAATTGACTCACGGACCGGTACCGGTCCTTGGCCCGGGGGTTGGGGACCACTGCTCTAAATGATACAGTAACCATGCGGGTGGGTAGAGCACAATCTGGACTACGGTGGGTACAATGTGCAGAAGTGAACAATAAAACAATTTGCACAAAAGCAAACCACATCATGGTGGTGACTTAAAATTCAGTGTGACTGTGATGGAAAATTAGCATTTTTGCTCAAAATAGACTCCACATGTTGCAGCCCATACTATCTTTAGACAGAATTCCATTTGGGTAGTGATGAATACAGGCGAGAACCACCTCAATGTGTGCTGACAACCTTTTTAATTTTTATTTTACTGGAACCAGACTCTGCAGTAGCTACTAAATATTTCTCAAAATCATTTTTTGACAAATCACCAGGATGCAGTGTCATGACTTTCTTTTTCATTTGATCTGATCCTTTTAAAGCTGCTTGGAAAGATTCAATCACAGGACCACAGTCTGAATAGTGTTTTCTCTCACTATATTGGGGCTGCAGTAGCTTGGTGGTCAGTGCCGTGGCCTTGTAATCCAAAGATTGCAGGTTCAATCCCAGGCTGCATCAGGCAGGGCATCTGGTGTAAAACAATTGCCAAAACTTCTGCAAGTTTGGTCACGGTAGCAACCCCTGAAGAAGAAAGCAGCTGAAAGGAACATACTACATTCACCTAACTCTGCTCTGATGTTACATCCACTGTGAAGTCCAATAATTCTCAGTCAAGTCATCTGGACAGTTTCTTTTTTATAGAGACATTTCACCCTCTATCCAGAGGGCTTCATCAGCCAGAGGAGTTCCAGTAAACTGTTTCCCCACCAAGCAGTAAACTTCTTAAACGGATCAACTGGTCCACTAAATGGTTGGTTTCCACTAACTGGTTTTAAGCTTTTCTTTTCTTATATCTTGATGAACGCTTTGTAATCCAGGTAGATAAATTTAACAAGGTTGAGTCAGGTTCTCTGGATGGATTCTTCTTTGTTGAAGTGTTTTGTTTTTTTAATCCAGAAGACTTCTTCAGTCTGAGGAGCTGCAACAAACTCAGTTTTATAAATGGCACCTTCTCATAGAGGATCAACCAGTTTGTTGTTGACAGACAGAACTAGCTGTTCACATGATAAAGGAGGATCATCAGCCTAACAACTGGTTGTTAGTGCCTTGATGGTCACTTGCTATTCACAGGGGGCTGAGTGATACTAGCAATAACAGCGTTGTAAGAGGAGGACAGTTGGACACGGAGGCTCCACGCCTGTTTAATGATGGACTGGTTCTTATCTCTTCTTCCTTTACTCCTCTCTCAAACCAATGTTCCTCTCTATCGTTTCCTCTAAGTCATATGTGTGAAACTCAAGCCCGGGGGTGAAAGTTGGCCCTCGTTGACATCTTATCTGGCCCCCAAGATGATATGTGAAACATTAAATACTTCTATCGCTTGAATTTTTTTCAGTAATCTTTGATTATGATGTCAAAAGCACAACCGAGAACATCAAATGAGACCAATCAAACTGTTGTTCAGGAACCTGTGACCAAGAAAAGATGTTGGGTATCTGATTTGAGTTAATGTAGATACTGAAGTAGGCCCTAAGTTTGAAAAAGGTTTTAATTTTGGCCCCTTTTGTAAGTGAGTTTGACACCCCTGCTCTAATGTTTCCTCTCAATGATCCTCTAAGATGTGAACATCTTCATCCCTGAAAGAGTGACCGCTGGCCTGGAGATGAGTGTAGACCTCAGAGTCCTGGCCTGATGATGTTGATCTTCTGTGCTGGGCCATCCTTTTGGCCAGTGCCTGTTTAGTTTCCCCGATGTAAGACTGATCACCCTCCTGACACGGAACAACATACACAACATTACTCTGTTTGTGCCGGGGGACTGGATCTTTGGGATGAACCAGTCTTTGCCGTAATGTATTTTGGGGTTTAAAAGCCACTGGGACGTTATGTTTAGAAAATAAAGGTCTCATTTTCTCTGATACTCCCTCAACATATGGAATGACCACTGGTCTGGGTCTGGGTTCCTCCTTTTCACCTGATGGCTGACTGGAGTCATGTTTGGGTTTCTTCTTTCAGAAAAATACAGTTAGGATATCCACATTCAAGGTTCAAGGTTTAAGGTTCTTTATTGTCATTTGTGTCACATGTGGTACATGAGGTGGAACAAAATTGTGTACTCAAGGTCCCAGTTACATCCAAAAATATTCAAAATATAAAGTATAAAAATTGAAACAGTATACAAGAATCTAAGATATACACTAAAATATAATAATGTAAGGTAATATGGAGTATTAAACAGCAGCCTGAACATGAACATTGCTCCAGGGTCTGTCTTGTGTGGGATTTCTCCTTCTGCCTGGCTCCTGAGTTAGTGGGAACGCTGTCTGCTCTGTGGTACAGAGTCCTGATGACTCCTAACGTTCTCCAGAGGGTGATGGGACAGAGTCTTTTGGATAATAGTTGAAACATTTGAACAAGAAGAATCTGTCCAGAGGACCTGACTTAACCTTGTTAGACTTATTAAAAGATGGCGCTACAAAAACAAGACTCAAATGAACTGAAAATCTCAAAACAATATTTATTCACATATTTGAATGTATTATAATCTATACAGAACCATCTGCAAAAATGTCTGGAGGCAGAGATAAAATGATGTCTGAACAGGAACTTAGGAAAACAATGCAGAGTATTGGAGTGAGCAGAGAAATCCAGGGACTCTTAATACAAAGCACCAATCAGTGTTGTCAGGAGTATTCCAACATGTGTGTGGATGGTGTTTAGGTTTTGATCATACCCTCTCTGATGGCTGTGCATGGTGCCCCCTCCTCATGTTCCAGCCGAATCTCCTTTAATGCAACCAGATTCTCTGTTAGTTTGCTCCTTCCTTTAAACACCGTGGCATACGTCCCCTATAAACACACAGGAGCACACTTGTGAGTAAATGGCATGTCTAAGTACTGTAAATTATAATTAATAGAAAACATACTTGAGGTTATTTCAAGGTGAAGCAAGAGTAGGTAAAATGTCCTGATGCTGCTCAATAATCCAGGTAGATGAATCTAACAAGGTTGAGTCAGGTTCTCTGGACAGATATTTCTTTGTTCAAATGTTTCGTATTTTATACAAAAAATATGGAGACTGAAGAAGTCTTTTGGATAAAAGATGAAACATTTGAACAAAGAAATATGGCTGGACATGGGCACCAGTGACCCCCGTAACACGAAAAGGAAGAAGCGGATAAAAGATCATGGATGGAGGGATGTTTAACCACATATAAAAAACATCAAAACAAGAACTCTTATATAAATATGGTTTAACTTGGTGCAGCCAAAGTGAAACAGGAAGTGACATCAAAATGGTGACAAAGGAATGTTTATACATGCATGCAACATGGTCTACATCTTTTTTGTCTCTATACTTCGGCTGCTCCCTTCCTCAGGGGTCGCCACAGCAATCTAACCCTCATGAAGACTTGGAAATTGTTTTTACATCAGATGTCCTTCCTGACACAACCACAGACCACCGAGCTACCACAGCCCTCGGTGTGGAGCAGAGAGCTGCCATCTAGGGCGCCCAGGGGAGCAGGTTGGAGTTGAGGGCCTTGCTCAAGGGCCCAGAGTAGGGCCAATGAGGGTGGAGGCAGGTGCGGGTGTTTCATCTTTCCCACCCACATATTGATGTTATTGGTCTGGGGAGTTGAACTGTCGACCTTCCGATCACAGGCCCACCCTGTCAAACCCCTTTTCCACCACTCCCCACTATGCTTTATATCTTATGATATTAATATATACTTTATAACCTTTTCTGCTCCTTTATGGTCACTGTGAACAATATTAAAATGTATGATCCTTTTCCCTGTATTATAATTATTCTTGATGTGACTATCGTTAAGACGATAGTGGAGAGGTCATCTTTTATTATTTTGAAGACTTTTGAATGTTATGGGACTTCAACTGAGGGGGACTTTTGCTTTGTTTTGTTTTTTGAATGTCCAGAGGACCAGATTTACTTTTTTACATCTGTAAATAGTTTGGACTCCACCAATCCACAGTCAGACAGCTTGTGTACAAGAGGAGTAAATTCAAGACCATCGTTACCCTCCCCAGGAGTGGTGGACCAACAAAGATCACTCCAAGAGCAAGGTGTGGAAAAGTGGGCGAGGTCACAAAGGACCCCAGGGTAACTTAAGCAACTGAAGGCCTCTCTCACATTGACTAATGTTGATGTTCATGAGTCCACCATCCGGAGAACTGAACAACAATGGTGTTCACGGCAGAGTTGCAAGGAGAAACCACTGCTCTCCAAAAAGAACATTGCTGCTCATCTGCAGTTTGATAAAGATCACGTGGACAATCCAGAAGGCTGTTGGAAGAATGTTTTGTGGACGGATGAGACCAAAACAGAACGTTTTAGTTAAAATGAAAAGTGTTCTGTTTGGAGAAAAGAAAACAGCATTCCTGCATAAGAACCTTATCTCATCTGTGTGACATGGTGGTGGTAGTATCATGGTTTGGGCCTGTTTTGCTGCATCTGGGCCAGGATGGCTTGCCATCATTACTGGAACAATGAATACTGAATTATATCAGAGAATTCTAAAGGAAAATGTCAGGACATCAGAACTGAATATCAAGAGAACGTGGGTCACGCAGCAAGACAATGACTCCAAGAACATAAGTGGTCCTACCAAAAGACGGCTCAAGAAGAATAAACTTCATGTTTTGGAATGGCCAAGTCAAAGTCCTGACCTTAATCCAATCCAGATGTTGTGGAAGGACCTGAAGCAAGCAGTTAGTTTCACATACTTTTGCCACTCAAATATGTAATATTGGATCATTTTCCTGAATAAATAAATTACCAAGTATAATTTTTTGTCTAATTTGTTTAACTGAGTTCTCTTTATCTACTTTTAGGACTTGTGTGAAAATCTGATGATGTTTTAGGTCAGATTGATGCAGAATTAAAGAAAAATTCTAAAGACTTCACAAACTTTCAAGCATCACTGTACGTAGCACTTACCAACATGGCCGTAGAATGTCTGACCATGTTACCATAGACTGCACTGTGGTTGTAGTGTATTCCAGTTCGGTGGTTTTAACCTTCACTGTACTGGAATTCTTAACCCTAAAATGAGCTGGTTCAGTGGTTCAAATCAATTGGTTCAATACATGAATTAAAGGCTTTGACTTCTTGTGCCAGAGAGAAACAAAGTCAACAAGAACTGCTGCGAGATGGAAACCAAGTATGATTGTTGAATACATTTACAAACAAACAGCAGATTTTTTCATGCACCTTTATAAAGTCCATGTGTTCGGTGCTGTTGCAGTGACACCAGGCGAGTGTTCATCGAACAAAAATGTCCATTTCAGATGCTGTAACCTACTGTTGAGCCTCATAACTGACACAGATACTTGTGATGAGAATCGTTTACAACTCTGAAGCAAAGTTTGACTCGTGTGTGTTCAGGAGATGAACTGCTATGTTCACATAAGCAATTAACAGATTTTAACACGTCGGGGCTCCTGATACTGACAGCCAGTCGGCTCAACATCATCCTCCAGAGTGTCTTTCTCATTTGAAGAAGGACCACCAAGTCTCTTGTTGTATTCCCAACAGGGGCGACGTGTGTGTGTGTGTGGGGTGTGTGTGTGTGTGTGTATGTAACACCATCCTCCCTTTCTGGACAGAGCGTCAGCTGGCAGTAACGTACCTCACCAAGTTTTCCAAGCTTCACATACGTCTCCAGTTTTCCAAATCCTATGTCAGACTGCAGGAGAAAAGAAAGGACAGTGTTCACTGCTGCTCTGCCCACCTTGTAACACTATGCAGATATTAACATGTTTTTTTAGGCATAAATCCATGTTTTGTCTTGTAAACAATAAATGCATCTTAACTGAGAAACAATGAAGCTGAATAACGTCAAAAATAAGAGCAAACAATCAGACTGATGCTGTGCAGACAAGAACTGTACCACACTGTAATTTAGACTAAGATGATTGTCTGGTTTAAAGGTTTTGAGATAAAAACAAGTTACTGACGAGTGAAGCACGTCGAGATGAGCGGCTGAGAGGTTTGCAGAGAGGAGAGTTCTCACTTTCCTGCTGCAGCTTCTTCAGAAACTCTGGAGGCAGGTGGATGTCCATGGGCAGAGACATGTGCTTACTCACATCCTGAAAGAGGTCACAAAGAGGGGAAGAGCTTCAGACAGACTACATTTTACTGAGAAAACATTCTGGTCTTTTTTCTTCAGCTGTTTTAAGAAAAAACACCTTCTTCCAACATTCAGCTGGGACAGAAACCTGAACAGCAAACTTTTCCTCCAATAAAGAGCAGGTTTTCTTCTCTGTTACCAGCTCAGGTATCGTCTGAAAAGAACTGGACCTGTCTGTCTGTGTAACTAACTAACCAACCCCCACGATCCGAAAAGGAAGAAGCAGGTAAAGATAATAAATGGATGGATAGTTGGAAGAGGAAAAATTAGAAATAATAACATCATAAAACACCATGTAGTGTCAGAAAACTAACTCAACAGATGAGAGCTGAATATAATTCTGAACACTTGAGTCCTTCTTTTGAAAAGTCATGCTAACAAAGATTTAGAAACTGGATCAAAGCAAACCACATGCAGATAAACATGTGATCATATGATGACAGCTTCCACTTGATTCAAAGTCGGGTTGCGGGGGCAGCAGCTTGAGCAGGGAGGCCCAGACATCTCTCTCCACAGCCACCTCTTCCAGCTCTGGGAGGATGCCAAGGCATTCCCAGGCCAACTGAGAGATGTAGTCTCTCCAGCGTGTCTTGGGTCTTCCCGGGGATCTCCTCCCATTCAGACATGCCCTAAGCACCTCCCTAGGAAGGCATCCAGGAAGCATCCTTACCAAATGTCTGAACCACCTCAACTGGCTCCTCTCGATGTGGAGAAGCAGCGGTTCTACTCCGAGTCTTTCCCAGATGACTGAACTTCTCTCCCTGTCTCTAAGGGAGAGTCCAACTACCCTGCAGAGGAAACTCATTTCAACCACCTCTATCCATGATCTCATTCTTTCAGTCAATACCCACAGCTCGTAACCATAAGTGAGGGTAGGAACGTAGACTGACCGGTAAACAGAGAGCTTTTCCTTACAGCTCAGCCCCCTCTTCACCACAATGGACCAGCACAGAGTCCGAAATACTGCAGATGCTGCACCAATCCATCTGTCAATCTCATGTTCCATTCTTCCCTCACTCGTGAACAAAACCTCTAAATACTTGAACTCCTTCACTTGGGGCAGAACCTCACCCTCAACCCAAAGAAAGCAATCCACCCTTTTCCGACTGAGGAACCATGAACTCAGATTTGGAGGTGCTGATTCTCATCCCAGCCATTTCACACTTGACTGCAAACTGCTCCAGTGAAAGCTGAAGGTCATGGCACAATGACGCCAACAAGACCACATCATCTGCAAAGAGCAGAGATGGAATCCTGAGGCCACAGAACTAGAATCCCTCCGCCCCCTGGCTGCACCTAGAAATTATGTCCATAAAAGTTATGAACTGAATCAGTGACAATGGGCAGCCCTGGCAGAGCATTATACCCCTATAAATGGCACACACCCTCCGGTCCTCCTTTGTGAAGAGGGGAACCACCACCCCAGTCTGCCAATCCAGTGGCACTGCCCCCGAGGTACATGCGATGTTGCAAAGCATGTCAACCAAGACAGCCCCAATACACCCAGAGCCTTATGGAAATCAGACATTATATTGATAATAGATTCATAGCCTATGTGACACACACTAAGTTGTGATCACATTGTTTTGTTTTATTAATGGTTTAATGATAGTGAAAAGAGTGGAATGCCAATTGAATTGAGTTGCTGTACCGAGTTATACAACAAGATGGCAGCGCTTCCGCTGAGGCAGATTAGGTGTGTTCCTTGGTCTGCTCTGTCAGTCCTCACAGTTACACGAACAATGACACACACAGTAATGAGTCTCTATCTCATTTTTGTTTAATTTCAGTTTGGTAAAGTCCATCAAGCAGATGCATATGATCCACATGTAGCAGTGGTTAATTTGAGCCGGATCCTGCCGAAACAAGATCCGGGAACTCTCTCATTTTGACTGCTCGGATCCGGCAACCCAAATCTCTGCCCCTAAAAGTCCAAAGTTGTCGCACATTTTTGTTTTGATTATTTATTAAAAATACAATGAGAGGCGACATAGCCCAATCTGTGGAGTGGATGTTCCGGCCGCAACACGCTCCTGCCCAGCAGAGACATGGACTGCATGTCCCGCGGGGAGCGTCTTCATCCTCCTTCAGCTGTGCGCCCTGCAGACAGTTGGTTTACGCACAACATCTCCAGACAGCTCTACAGGACACGCGAACAACTGCTGTGTCGGAACTCCTGCATACATTACCGTGGTGCATAACATTTCAGCCGTAATTAAATAAGCTTACAGTTAAAAAAAATAAATAAAAAAAAACTATGAGTGAAATTTTTGATGTTTAATAACATAACATATCAAAACAACAGGACTAATTTGTCAAAATAATAGCAATCAAAATGTTAAAAAGACTATTTATTTAAAATAAATGGATGGATGGATTGTCCTTATTTGGACAATTAAATTGAAGCACCTGAAAGACATTGGTAATTGAGAATGGAGCAGAACAGCACGCAGGACTGAATTCAGCTGAGTTCGGGTCGGACAGTGTGTGTGTGTGTGTGTGTGTGCGTGTGTGTTAGGAGGGGGGGTTTAGGACACTTACCAAACCATACCATACCACTTTATTTATAAAGCACTTTAAACAGTGACGAGGCCAACCAAAGTGCTGTACAGACAGAACAACAGGTAACACACAAAGCAAAATACAAAATGAGGTAAATCAGAATATAGACATAAAAAAACGATGCAGATAATGACGACAAACCAGTGTAGAGCATACAGGATCAACACAGATCATCTGGTGTTGAAAGCTACTGAATAGTAGTGAGTTTTTAAACGGGACTTGAAAACCGAGAGGGAGGGGGCCTGTCTGACAAGCAGAGGTAACTCGTTCCAAAGTCTTGGTCCTGCTACAGAGAAGGTCCTGTCACCTCTGCGCTTAAGACGAGTTCCTGGAACTGTGAGGAGCAACTTGGAGGAGCACTTGACAGAATTGGAGCTGTATTCACACACAGGTTTGTTAATTGTTGTTGTTCTCTAAAATAGTAATTTCAATTCAACCTTTATTTACACAGGTTGTCAGTCTCATTGAGCCTCGAGGACTCATTTACAAGAGAGACCTGTTTTTAATCATCCATCCATCCATTATCTTTACCCGCTTCTTCCATTTTGGGTCACGGGGGTCGCCAGTGCCCATGTCCAGCAGTCACTGTGCGAGGGGCGGGGTACACCCTGGACAGGTCTCCAGTCCATCACAGGGACACATAGAGACAAACGAGACAAACAACCATTCACTCTCTCACTCTCACCTAGGGACAATTTAGAGTTACCAATCAGCCTAACATGCATGTTTTTGGTCTGTGGGAGGAAACCGGAGAACCCGGAGAAAATCCAGGCATGCACGGAGAGAAAATGCAAACTCCACCCAGAAAGGACAGAACTGGGGACCTGCTCGCTGAGAGGCAGCAGCTCTACCAGTTGCACCACCGTGCTGCCTGTTTTTAATCAATTTAATCAAATGTTTACAGATGTACAGAGATTTACAGACAACCCATTAAAATACACCAAAATGCAGGAAATGGCATCTCTTTTATTCCAAATTTTCTGAGGGAGGACCCACAGAACCCCCCCCCCCCCCCAACACAGGAAGTCTGATTGTCTGTTTTAACATTGAGGTTACGTATGACATGGATGACACTAATTGTTTTAGAGATTTGCTGAAAAGACACTAAAACCTAATTGTTAAAGTTAAACAAGCAGAACAGAATGAAAATTACACAAATATTAGCTAAAATCTAAATTTAGTTATTTGGTTTATATTTATTATTAAACCAATACTGTAATTCAAAACAAAAATTGTGTAAAACTTCAGCTTCAAGTAGAACCAGTGAATACTGATTACATACAATACCAAAACACTACGAACCCGTTCGGTTCCCCGGGAAAACCTTGGAAATTCTCTGTTTGTCGGAACCAGTTCTGGAGGACAGCTGCTGCAGTCATTATCATCATCACGCTGCTAACGGGACCTGCTAACGCTGCTAACAAGCCCATACTGCTAACAGAAGCATGCTGCTGAAAGAACCTCACTGCTAACCAAAGCACAATGCCAGTAGGATCATGCTGCTGTAGAGGTATTTCTTTTCACTTTTGGGACCTTGTCTTTGTACTTTTGCTGCATGCTTTGGTATTGCTGTTTTTTTGGCGAGTCAAGACAGTTCTTCTCGTCCTCAGCATTTCGTTGCATCGTTTACCTTGTGTTGATTTGCATATGACAAACAAACCAAACCTAAACACTAGCTAAAAGCTATGGTTATTGGTGGTTATTGACAGCTATAAAATGACCGAGTAATTTAGCTTCACTTTCTAACTAGATTTCGGAGAATAATGCTTTTCGAGGAAACTGGTGATATCTGTGTATTTCATTGGGGAAAATATAATTCATTCATCACACACTTCATTCATTCAACCTTTATTTAGACAGGTAAATCCCATTGAGCCTCGAGGAGAGACCTGAATAGGTTAAATACTTAAAATGTATATTCAAAAAGTTCAAGACAAAAACAACAACATAGTAAATACTAACAGTCACAGTACACTGAGTGGGCTGGATGTTTTGATATTTGAGTGGTAAATATAGCACAAAACATCCACTTTGTAAAAACCCTACAGGATAAACTATAACAGATATGCTAAATACACAAAAGAACACACATTTTGTCTGATTGGTTGATCTGATTCAAACGTGGGCAACTTAAGGCCCGAGAGCCAAAAGCGGCCTTTGGCCAATCTCAAGCAGGCCCCCAATATCCTCAGATAATTAAAAACAAAAACATTTTAATAAAAAGATGGATTTAATAAAAACAGCAATTTATCAGCAAGACTTAAGGGAATTTAAATTAAACGTCTGACACAAAACTTTTTAAAAAACATTTTTAAGTCATTGTGTTTCCAGAACTAGACTGAACCTTAAAGTCTTAGAAATACATAAGTTTGTTTTGCATATTTCTGCTAACATGCACATGCTAAACTAACATGTAAAATATATGGTCACAAGAGCCAGTTTACAGAATCTGTCTTCTGTTCCTAAAGGATATTGGAAAGACGTGTTTTATAAAGCATGCTAACTATGCTACAATAAGACAAAGCCTGAAAAAATTGTCTTCTAGATTATCTGTCATAAAGAAAAATTATTTTCCAATTCTGTATGCAGCCGTTTGATCGCTTTAAACGTCTTGATGCAGCCCTTTGAAAAAAAAATGTTGCCCACCTCTGATTTGATCTGATTCATGGTGGTTTCTGTAGACCAGCAGCATGAGACCTATGCCTGCATCAGTCCATCGTATCAAGTCTCTAGCTGGTTTTAGATGTTCTACTTACTTCCATGGAGAAACGCCGGTGCTGGGCCTGGCTGTGGTAGTGCAGGTGAGATGGAGACTGAGCTCCTGGTGTGGTGGCTTCTGGGCTCACTGGACTGGTGTCATGCGATGGAGGACCAAGTCTGTCTGGAGTCAGGCCTGGAAGAGAAATAAACATCATTTACATGAAGCCAGTTTTTATTTCTAGACTTTTTAACAAGTTGTGAGTCAAAAGGTGTCGTCGCCCAAAGTTGTGAGTAGGCAGAAACCAGCTACCATCAGGAAGTCTCAGGAGTGTCTCCAGAATGTCCTTAGACTTCCACAGGATTCTCAACGTTCTTGCGTGAGTTGTTTGAATTTTGCGTGTTTGAAAAGATTGCGCAACAAAGTTTAGTCAAGAGGAGGAGCTCAGAGCTCTGCAGAGGAGATCTGCAGTATTATTTTGATTCTTAGACAGACGTTCTCCTATGACGCACAACATCCAAGTCAAATGTCCAGGGCCTCATGTACAAAGGTCAGAGTCAGAGAGTCAGAGAGAGCGAGTCAAAGGGTGCATATGCACAAAAACGTGGCATACACACTTTTCACGAAAAATTTCAGATGCATCAATAATAAAATGACTGGAAATTTGCACAGCCCCACGAACACTTCATGACTGGTGTACGCATGTTTTTATGATTATTGGTCCATTGACAACACTTAGAGGTGATACTGGGAAACTGTTGATGATGTGAAAACTATTATTGTACACACCAGACACACATGATGAACAATTGTGACATTGTGGTATTTGTGAAAAATGGTTTACCTTGGACCTAAATAAAGGAGATAGAAATAAAATGTTTGTATTATTATAAATACAAGAATGTCTTGTAGATGTGTATTTCAGCCTCGAAAGAATCCACGGGAAAAATGATCTGGGTCACAGCTTTGCTGGAACTAATAAAGAGACAAGGATTTGACAGCAGAGGTGGGTGTCGCAGGTGAAGCAGCGTGCGGAGACGCAGTGAACGGACCGGTGAAACTCCCGAGTTAGCCCAGGATAACTGGAGTTGGGCTTCATGCTGAAGTTAGACCCAACTCTGGAGGGAAGAAGAAGACTTTCCCATATTAACGCAAAGTGCCACGCAGGGAAGGATCGGTCCGGATTCCCTGGAGCGATTTTGGCGGAGAACGCTCCAGGTCTAGAGAAGGAAACCCCGGGGACAGAGACGCCAACCTGGTGAGACCTTTCTTTATTATTTGCTTTTCTTCCTCCTCCTTTTGTTTTGAGAGACTGGAGGATCATATGGGCCCCAACAAGTTTTTCTTTTCTGAATATTTTTTGAGTGCCTAATTGCCAAATTTTTATGGGACAATTTTTTATTATTAAAGAGAGATCTCTCTTGGGAAATATGGGAACTAGAATTATTTCAGAGACTTTATCATGATCATTGGGTTGTTCACAAAGCTTATTGGGAGCTAGGGCTGAATGTAAACCTTTCTCAGAACATGAGTCAACATATCTTTCAACTCTATTTTTGGACCAGTTAATGAATGGGTTTTCTCTCTTTAACCACAGATATCCCAAAATCAGCTGAGATTTAGAGTAGTTGAAAACAAAGAACTCACTCTCCTCATGATGATTTCCAGAAACAACAAACAAATTTTATTGTCATTAGGCAGATTGAAGAGATGGTTTGTCCCGTAAGGGTGGCTACGGAGACCGTAGCGGTTAGCATCATTGTTGGGATCTGAAGCTCCCCTACCAGGTCTCAGCTGATCAGGTTTGCTCCATCCTGGAATTGATCAAAACCTAAACATGAAAGTTTGTGCTTTTAATACACAGTATAGTAGGTAAACAGATTATTTTCAGGAGAGAATGAAGAAATACCCACTGGTGGGCTCTCCCTTTTAAACATAGCCGATATGCAAGGACGTGTCCTCTCTTACCACATTATAAACACTCGTTGTGGTCTATGCGGCATTGACATTCCTCCGGAATAAGGTGAGTCCTTCCGATCTGCATTGGTTTGGGTTTGGCTTGACTGGGTGATGAAAAAGACCAGTTGCTTCCAGCTTCAATATAGTCACGGAAACTGTAGTTCTTCTCCATGGCATGTTCTCGGAAGTGGTTGTCGATCTTTGTAGTGAGGGTAATTAGTTGGTTCAGGTCTGTGGGTGTTTCATGGGTAGCAAGTTGATCCTGTATGTTTTTATTCAATGCATGGATTAACGCTCCCTTGAGGGCTTTCTCATCCCAATCAGATATCTCCACCCAAATGCGGAAGTGGATGGCGAATTCAGCTACAGGTCTGTTTCTTTGCCATAATGAGAAAAAAATTGGGTCGCTTCTTCCTGCTGCAAGGGTTTGGCGAAACACTGTCAGAAATCCTTGAGAAATGAGGAGGAAGTTATTGACTCAATCTGGTGTTTCTGCAGGTAAGCGTGAGCCTATTGGAACGCGTCATCCTTTAAAGCATTGACAATGAAAGTTATTCGGGCGGCATCTGAGGAATAGGTTAGTGGGGCATGATGAAAAGCAATAGTGCATTGTTTCAAAAAGGCACCACATTTGCTGGCATTACCTTCGAAACATTCAGATGGCCGAACATCAGGTTCCCAGAGAACTGTTGGACCAGGATGGACTGGCGCTAGTGGTCCTGGCTGGCAAGGTGTCTTGGGCAGCTGTGCTCTAGTGCCTGACCACTGAGATCCTGGAACTAACAGGAAACACAGCTCATGACAGCGGAAGGACAGGATCGTCCCTCGGCACCTACAGTTGGCTGTCTGCAGTGACAAGGAGCTTGGCAGACTGCTGGGAGGAGTGACCATCGTTCTGGGAGGAGTTCTGTCCAGCATTCAGGCGGTCCTACAGCCCGGAGGAACCCAGAGTCCAGCCGAATCTGGATGGACGGATCGGACGGCATCTGCAGCCAGTTTCTTAGGATCCACTGTGGGATGGACCTTTACAAGAGGTCCTTCCTGCCTACAGACATCAGCATCTAAAACATCTCTTAATGAAATGAGGATAATGAGTTACAGCAACAAATAATGTCCCTTTGGGATTAATAAAGTATTTTTGAATTGAATTGAATTTGAATTGAATTGAATTTGAATCATCAATAAGTTTGTTTTGAGCTTGAATAGACTGCTGTGACAGTTCTTGCTCAGTCTCACCATGAGGGTCAATTTGGCTGGGACATTCTAACATGTTTGTAGTTAGTGGTTAACTCCAAGTGGCAGACCGAGCAAGAGACTGAGACAGAGTTATCAAAATGAGTGTTTTTATTTACAGGTGCTGGTGCCGCTGGCTGGAAAGGAAGAAGGGACACGGTGAGTACTTGGCTTGATATTGTTGAAATATTTTGAAAAGTAGAGCAGTAGAATGTCTTACTGAAAAAAGTTTTTGTTGGTAGCTTGAGTCCGAGGAGAGGAGGAGAGGTTCTGGTTCCAGTAAGGTTCACTACTGTGAGACAAGGTGAGTACCGTTGGAGAGAGAATAAGGTTTTTGGATGGTTGGTTCTTCAGGCTGAATGTGTTGGATTGTAACTGGGACACAATCTGGATGAGTAGAGATCACGATGAGCAAGGAGGCCTAGGAAGGCTAGCTTAGTCCAGGACTTAGAAGTTGCTGCAGGAGATCATGAGATAGTTTTTTAGTAACACAATGTCAAGAGACAATTTAGTGACTATCCACTACCATTTACCATAGGTATGATAACGTCCCAACGCTGAAGAATGTCTGGCTGAGGCTTTTAGTCTTTTCAGCCATCTGTCTCACCCATGTCTGTTGTTTTTACTTGAATGAAATTTCCCTTTGGGATCAATAAAGTATATTGATTGATCGATTGATTAATTATGCTCCTACAGAGTCATCCCTCAAATCATGCGCAGGTGTGTAGTGATGGCTGGTTAGTAAACTGCTGCAGCTGTGGGAGAGAGTGAGTGTGGCTGGCAGAACCAGAACTCCCACACCTAGGTGTGAGTGAGAAAATGAACGGTTGTTTGTCTCGTTTGTTTCTAGGTGTCCCTGTGTTGGACTGGAGACCTGTCCAGGGTGTCCCCCGCCTCTTGTAAAGTGATAGCTGGACATGGGCACCAATGACCCATAAAGGAAGAAGCAGGTAAAGATAACAGAGGGATGGATGGATCGTAAACATGCACAAAGAGGATATAAAATATCTTTATCTACAATAGGTTTAGCCTAATTAGGGGATATAGCAAATGGTGCAATAAGCAGAGAGTGTATATTATGAGACAAAGAGGATTTTCTGGCCCACAATGACGAATGGCTCATCAGCCATTTAAGGCTTCCCAGGGCAATCCATTTGGAACTGTGCTTGGAGTGGCGGCCGGTCTTGGAGTGCAGCACACCGAGGAGTCCATGTGCTGCCTGTACACAAACAGCTGCTGACCACACTGGAATTTCTAGGAACAGACACATTCAAGAGGGAGCTTGATCAGAACTGCACTAGTCGACCCTGAGCCGAGCCATGCCAGCTGTGTGGGATGGAATTATCTGCACGACAACCAGGTATTCCCTACAATGCATTATATATATATATATATATATATATATATA